GGAAGAGAACAAAAATATGAGGAAGAAGAGCTTGAGCTTTGTTTTCATTTGAAAGAGGAGGTGTCAGCAGCCCGGTCTCCTGAATGCTAAACAGGCACTTCCCCTAACCACTGAGCTACAACTCCACCCTCCTGATCTCTGTTCTTTATAAATTGAGTTTGAGATCTTTGAAGAATTCAAGTAGAGAGTTCTAGTAGAGAATTGGCTGGACTATAAAAAGAAATCTGGAAGCCCTAGAATATGGTAATTATAAGCCTTAGGTAGATGAGCTGTTTAGGAAATGTTGAATAATCAGTCTGGATGAAACCTGGAAAAAATGTAGTCATCCCTCAGCATCCATGAATTGGTTCCAGAACACAAAAACACGACACATGCGCGTGCGCACACACAAATATCAAAACCCATGGACATTCAAATTCTTTATATAAAATGGTATATTTACATATAACCTCTATGCTCACATATACGCTACATCATCTCTAGATTACTTATAATACCTAAAACAGCTATATAATATACCTAATCATACCAATAATATAAAGGCTATGCAAATTATTATACTATATTGTTTAAGAAATAATGACAAAAATCTGTACATGTTCAGTATAGACACATTTTTTTTCCCTGAATATTTTCAGGCCACAGTTTTTTGAATTTGCTCATGCAGAACTTGAAGATGTAGAGGGTAAACTGTATTACTAATTTGAGTGTGCTTAATACTTACAAGAAATTTTTGATTTGTTCTGAAGCCTACTTGTGTAAAAGTAAAGAGTAAAATCAAATAAATTAGCTACTTATTACTTGATATGTATAATCAAATAATCTTATACAGTGCTTATGTGATTGTTTGGAAACATTTACCTTTTCTCTGCTGCAGAAAATAACTGGGCTTCCTAACTATCCAGTAGGCTGAAGACAGTTATTCTGTCTGGTATTTTTGCTACATTAATAAATCTAAGCTGAGGTAGGAATATTGTAAGTTCAAGACCAGCCTGAACTAAGATCTAAGGAAAAATTAAGTGATTATCTCCATAAATAATAAAAAAACACTTTTGAAAAAAATGATATTT